ATTCTGTGGCTCGAATGGTTCTTGAGAAACTTCGAAAAAAGCAGCGCCATGTTCAAGTGGATTTTGCAACTCAAAAATAAATCACGCAAATATAAAACTTCTTGAATTGAAGCCTTTTTTGAAAAAACTGCCAACAATTCCCCATCCATGGTTTACTTTCTAAAAAGGTCATTTATTTCTGTCTAGAACGATGTAAAAACGAGCGTTCTTGCGCATTTTGCTTCCGAGAAACATGCAAAACGGGACGGAAAACATGAAATTTTGCAATAATCTTACGCCACCCTTGCGCAAAACGACGATAATTTTTATAATTTCATAGACAACAGAAGACTGTGTTTTTTCTACATAACCTCCCCCCCTGAATTTAAAGCTGGATCCGCCCCGGTAATCGCTACGTAGTTCATTAGTTTATTGCTTGCATTTGTAAACGGGGTTGTAAGTTTGTGCACACAGTGGTCGTGATTTATCGAAGAAAATTAATAATGTTTCCTTATAAGGCATGGGTTTTTGCACGGTAGGTGTATGGCTTCCTATTGCGTGTAGTTTTTTTCCTATACTAAGTACTGATATTTTTCAGTCTCCAGGCCGCTGGGTTAACGGGCATTGGGTGAGCTCCAGCCCTGAAACTCCGCGTGAAGCTAATTTGCAGGCGCTGGCTGAGATGGGTTTTTGGAACCGCGACTTGAATGCCACCCTCTTGGCCCGATACAGCGACGACTTGAACCGCGTCGTAGCTGAGCTGGTGCAGTAGAAAACAAACTTTAGCTCATTGTAGCGGCTAAGCACTTCACTCCTATTTAGAGCGGATGAAACGGAGCTGTTCGGTCTGGTTTTAGTGACTTTTAGTTACCTTGTGTTTGGTATTTTGTTTTCTATTTTAATTATTCCATTTGATAATCGCATATTAGTTAATTTTTAACATTCGTGGTTGGGAGTAGTGTTTTGCTTTGGGCGGTACGCCCTGAACTTAGATTAGTCTCGATTACTCGATCGATCTGTATTTATGATGATCTTGTAAACCCCATTAAAACGTATATATTATTGGAAGTTTTCTTAATTTTGGACACATTTTGAACGTTCGGTTACGCCACATTTGCATAACGCGTGGTTTTAGTCGGCAATCAAACTTCAGCGTGATCTAAAATAACTCTTTTATCGGGGTTTAGACATACAGATTGTCCTAAACTGTACCTGTAGACGAATAAATAATAGCTATGAAATAATTTAACTAGAAATAAACAAGAGTAATTTACAACAACTTGTGCAATAACCAACCGTACTGGTTACCTTGGATTTTAGAGAGTTTGTGAGGAAAAGCCCTCACACTTTGGTGACTAGAAATCGATGCTACGGTTGTGATAATCACATTTTTTTCAACGTGTTACCTAAGTAACCAAGTACGCGATCAGTCGACAAATCTATTGGCACCTGCAGAAGAAATTCGTTAAGTACTAAAACTACGTTTCTAGCTTTGAGCCGATCCATAAGTGCCTGGGGGCGGTTTGTAGTGCTTGGGGAAGGCCAACAGCTGCATGGCATTGAAAGCGTACTTTCGCAGGCCGATGTTCTTCATCGTGTTCTCCCTTCTACAGCCCTCACTAATCAGCAATCAAACAGGTATTTAACTGCTGTGAAAACCGTCTAAACTTACCTTCTCATACAGTCCAGGGCCCTTTGAAACTCGTGCTCAGCTAGATGGTATTCTTCAGCCAGTATCCTACACTGCTCTAGAGTGACTGACATCCCAGTCCGATCTTTGGCACTTTTGCAACTGGTAAATCTAATACCTGCAAAGAACTGTTTTTAGTGAATTTCCCTATTCATCTGCTTGGTGAATACCGTCACCTTTCATGTGTCTACTAATTTGCGCGGACAGTCTAAGAATGGCCACGTTCTTCGGTTTGGCGCCATGCACCTCCGCTCTCAGCTCCTCAATCATCTCGATCAAAGGGCGACAGTTTGAGCTTCCCGCCGACTGTCTCGGATTGTCACAGCGGTTGATTTTTCTATACCGCAAAAAGTACTCGTACAACCGGTCGAAGTTGTCGATATTTGCGCGCTCTTGCGGCTTGGTGGCGCCGATTCCCTCAGCTATCGAAGCCATTTCGTTGATTCCTATGTTGAAAAAGACGGGGGTAACGTGGAAGCTAAAGGTCTGTCTTGAGGGCAGCAGGCTGTACAGGTTGTCGGGGACCGGCAGTGAGACAGTCAGGCTGTTTCTGGTGCCGGACACTTTGGGAGTGGGCACCGGCTCGACAGACGGGCTGGGGCTCCGCACTAGAACGAATAGGACTGTGCGTAGGTCTTCAATGGCCACCGACATGTCGCCCCACATATCGATTTCATTGCCGTAGTAGCTTAGCAGCCCTTCGAAGTGGGCCAGAGGCCCCAATTGCCCCAAAGTGGCAATATAGGCAGGGTCGGGTTTGTGGCACCACAATCGCGTCATCAGCCCCGTTGCTAGTGAAGAAAGCGCTTGGGAGAAGCAAACGTCCCGCCGATAGCGAACGTTGCATACTCGCTGGGCCGCTTTGGGGTCTTCCTGCACTCGGAACACTGAATGAGTTAAGCGAGCTGTTTTAAGCAAGCCGTCCATGGCCTGTCTCAGCTTACGCATGCTGGGCCTCAGCTCTGACGCCCAGTCGCTGATCTTACTCAAGTCCAGGCCTTCGGTGAATTTATTGCCGTTTCTCACCAGGCCTTTATCCACAGGGTCGTCACTTTTCGGCGCTGATGGAACAATCTTCCTTCGACCTGTCGAGTGCTGCTTCAGCCGCACTGCTGGACTCCCGCATCTGCCGCACAAGAACTTTACTTTGCTAACTAGGCACATCACGCTGGCTTCGATGTTCAACTGCGTGATGTCCCACGGCTCCGGTTCTTCGGTGGGTTTGTAGTAATTGGCCGAAGGCGAATTGCACATGGCGATGGTATCCAGGAACATTTTTGCGCGGGGATCCGCTTCGGAGTTCACTCCGTTCGTTGATAGACTATCTGGTTGGCCGCTGTCCATCGAAGTCTCCAGGTTCGCGTCTTCCACATCAGGGAAGAGCACAAAGTTGCTTTCATCCGGCGTCTTCATGCTGGAGCAGAGCGTCTTCAGGCCATCGCTGGTGTTCAGCAGATTGCTCTCGCTGCTGGGCACTTTCCACAGATCTTCCACGGTTTTCTGCACGCATGGCGTCGCAAAGTCTTCCAGTTCGGGGCTTTTTAAGTCAAGCGTCAGTTGCTGCGTGATCCGCTTGAATGGGGAGAGCACTAGACTGGGACGACCGCCCACTAGAAACATGTTTTATTTGCCTAACTAGTCTTGTAGGGGAACTAGTGATTGGCTTACCGCTGTCCAAGCTCAGATCCTCGCTCAAGCCAGAGTCGTCGGCTTGAGTCAGTTTGTGCTCCTCAATGAAACTGAGCGCCTCCTCCACCAGGCCCGGATCCCACAAGCTGAGGAGGATGCGGGTTTTGTTGATCATGTCCTCGCATATCGGTAACATTCCGTTGGTTTGCTTCTCTTTGGCCAGACGCATTAGGGATTTCATTGCTTCCACCACTTCTCTTCTTAGTTGCTTGATTGCCTGAAAGTTTTAATAATGTTAACGCTGTTTTTCTTGGGCAAACGTTCCCGAGTTGAGGATGGTACAAGAATGGTGGAGTTTTCGGTGAACAGTTGGCGCAAAAAAGCACTGTCCTTCTTGGGCCAACATCTTCGACACTGTTACTTTTAAAAGCCGGTTGAACTCACTTGAATGGCATCATTGGCCATGGAGATTTTCGTGGCAATTTGGTAGTTGGAATTGGCCTTCATCGGAGATTCTTTGAGCTGTTGCACCAGCCTGATTAAGCCGCCATTCTTCGAGCGATGGCTGTGCGCTGTGAAAGCGCCCACCGTAATCCAGTCGTAGAAGCCTGACTTGTTGAGCGTGTCGTTGTGCACCCACATTCGTTGCAGGTGCATGTTGATCGGGACGAATTCCAGGCTGCGGTCCGTTTTGCGGGAGCTTTTCTTGAAGTAGGGCCCCTTGTGGGCTTGCAGGTTTTCACGAGCCTACATTTTCCAAATTTCGTTCGCTGATCCCTTAATTGACCCCATGCTGGCTACTTGCCTGAGAATAGAGCCTGAGGAGGTGCAAGTGACGATCCAACAGCTCCACTTGACGAGAGTGCCAGGGCTCCCGCAGCTCGCCCATGCCTGCCACTTCTTGAAGCAGCTCTTTCTCCTGAAGAATCCACACGTCCCTGGAACATTAACTCTGCAGATTTACGTCTTTTTAGAGCGGTTGGGTTGCTTACAGCATTTGATGCGGGAAGCTGAAGCAGAGCTTGCTCTCCGCCATGTATTCGTGCACGGAAATGTCGCCGCCCAACCCCGAATGGAACCTGTACGTTTGAAGATATGGGGAGGAGAACAGCAGCTTCAAGTCCGACTGGCTGGGGAGGCGCATTTTCACCCCTAGGCGAGGTGGCAGCGACTGCGATCTTCGATGCGACCAAATCTAAGGTAGCGTATTTTTAGTAGACCAAACACACCCAAAAACAGAAGATGGTAATGAGCTTAACGTTCAGTAAAAACAATTTACGTTTCACATCTGCTGCTGCGGTTTTTTCAACACCACTCGCAAGGAATACAGTTAGCCCAATGTGAACATAAATAGATTGAAGAGGATTCGCACATATTGACGCTACTTGGCCAGGTACGATAAGAGCTAAATGGCTAAAAGCTGCAGCTGTTGGCGTTTAGCCGCTAGGCGCTGCAAAGCCTCGAATATTTTCTTTGTTTTTTCATCGCACTTTTCTGAAATCGAAATTAATTTTCACTTCGTGCCAGTTAAGAGCCGGCCGATAATCTCGCGTTCCATCAGATCGAATCGATTCGTTACACGCGCCGCAATGTGCCCGAAACTCGGACTACTCGTTGTAGTTTTGCTGCTTTTTCAGGTAAGCCATCGACTACTCCACTTTATTTTGCCACGAATTCCCTATTTCCAGTGCCTTGAAGCAAAGAAGAAAAGACCGACCGACAGTGCCGCACTGTCCACCTATGTGGAAGACCTAAAAGCCGTCCTGCAGGACACTTGGGACGCGCTAATTGAACTGGTTCCGGCAGCGCCCCAAGCCAAACACAAAAAGAAGAAAAAGGACAACAGTTGGAGCCTGAACGACTACGTGAAATCAGCGACGAAGAAATTCAATCGTTTCTACAAGTCTTTGGGGGCGTTCCAGTTGGGCAGAACGAAGCAGCCCCAAAAAGACCTCAACAGCGACGACGTCTTTACTGTTGAGCTGTTTGCAGCCGAAGTGATCGAACGCGCCACGTGGGGCTTTATTAATATTGTGGAGAGTTTTGGACAAAATGACTCGAGTTAGAGCACAGGCAAACGCGCATTTCTTTATCATTCGTTCCGCTCGTCTGATACGCAGATTTACGGTAAAAGGCTCACCTGTTGGGCGTGGTTTGCGTTAACACTCGGCACTCTGGCAGGCGTGTGATCCGTGGAACTGCCCTTATCTTCGGCCTCCAACGACCAGGCGCAGACCGTCAGGAAACCTGCAGTTGTGCTTTGGCGCGACGATAATGGGATTCTTAATCTGGCAAAATTAGTTAAGTTAGTCTAAGCTTTGCTCAATTTTAATTGCCTAAACTAAGAAGTCTAACCGTAAATAACGACTTTTGTTGCTTACCTTGTTGAGTCCTGTATGGCACTGAGAAGAACACAGGAAGATCCTAGAGGAATGGCGGTGTGCGACACTCGTTCCTGCACATCGAAGACTGTGAATCTGAGCCGGGATTCGCCGGTCAGCCCATCGGAAGCCCTGAAGCTGATGGTGCTCAGAAACTGGGGATTGCTGCTTTTCTGCAACGGAAACAACCCATTAATTGATTGAAGAGCTCGCATGGATCTGCTGAAGCACCTCAATGATCTCAGTGCGCCCGTACTGAACCCACGTTTTCTGCGCTGGCATGTAAGCATCCACCACTAAAGTGGGATTGGGCGGCCTCCCATGCCCGTCGCATAAAAGGTTGTCGCAAGCCATGGCCATTTCATACATTGGCACTTCGGATATATCTGGAAGAGTAACAACCGATGCTTTGCAAGATTGGTATAGAGGCAAAACGCGCTCACCTAAGGTGTGGTTTTGCTGCAGCCTCCAAGTCTGCAAGTCCACGTTAGGTTTAAGGTTGCGCCGACGTTCGATGCACTGTCTGAGCGCGTTCAGTTCGGCTCTGATGCCTTCGTAGCTGGCGGTTCTGATCGCCTCCATCCAACTGGCGCGTTCGAATTCGGAGGTGGAAGCCAGCGCTTGGCACAGCCCGCCGTCGAACACTGCAAATACAATCAGTCAACCGCGAGTTATAAATTCGACTGAATCTAATCAGCCTCTCCTCACCCAAGTAGAAGGGATAGTGGCCGTCGTTTGTTAAAGGCGCCGAAGCCATGGGCGGATCCAGCCTGACCTGGCACTGCTCTAAAACAACCACCCCCAAAGGCTCCGACCAAGGATCTTTGCTCTTGAAGTAGAACAGCAGGTTGCCCCGTAAACGGCACCATCTCTCAAGGTTTACTGCAAATAACCCGCAGTCCACATTAGACAATTGATTGGACACCTAATACAAGCCCTTCGCATGCAAGCTTGGAAAAGACTTTGTTAAGTGAAATCGTACCCAGTTGAATGGGTACCAGCCCTCTTTGCGCAGTGTTAAGCAAATGTAGGGTGGTTAGTAGTGTTAAAGCACATAGAGGCCTTAAAGTATGGTGTTAGAAGGTGTTAAGTGCAACAGTTTACTTAATGATCGCAAACAATCACTGAGCAAACCGTTAATCTGTGGAGAGTGAAAAGTGCCGTTTTCAATAGTACCTTTAGTAATTCCCCCCACGCAACTCAAGTTTCGAAGCCTTTTTTCATGTTTTTCCAATTTGCCCTTCTTGCCTCCTGTAAGAACATGATTAAAACAAAAAAAATGGAAAGGAAATAATATACATAAAATGCTAAGGCGAGGATACGATATTAGTACATGGGGGCTGCTGAGCCACAGACGCTCAGCAAAGGGTTGAGCGATTTGCGACTTAACAGCCAAATATGAGTCGAATACATTGGCACAGATCATGCAAACTTCCTTTGAGCAGTTCACATGCTTTGTACAGAATAATATCCACATTGCTGGCTGTGACGCTCGTAAAATGTACATGGTTTATTGTGTTAAAGACATTCTTCTCTGGGTAAACAACCGAATAAATCGTGGGAAAATGTTTGTTATTCCAATGATGTCAGTGTAGGATTGAGGCCTTGGACTGAGAAGAATAAGGAACATGATCAAGTCAGTCTTTGTTTATTGAGAACACTGCAACTTACCTGCCAAGCATGCAAACTCTACAGACTTACTTTCCGACTTGCGAAAGAATCCTTCCTGGCGCTCTCGGATATACAGAATACCTTCCTTTTCGAATTTGGTGGATGGTTGCATAGCTAGAGTAGCCAGCTCTTGTTTGTTGAACCTCATCATTCACTCTGGAGGGAAGATCTGATCATCAGTGTGCTTCTAAGGTTGTTTATAATTAATGTAACCAGCTAGTTCCCACTGCTCTTGAAAGCTTTATTCTACTGTTCTCCCAAACAGGCATTCTTTGCCTGATTAGAGTGTGTTGCTGTATATTGATTTTTAAACTATGAAGTAAAAATGAGCCTAAACGCGTTAGTGGCAGCGGACGTGGGCGCGACACATTAATAATCACCAAGCTATTGTTTTAAAATTACGTGTCATTATACAGTTATGTGATTTGGTCAACAAATACAAAAATTAACCATGTTTAAACCTAAACAAACTCCTCATAGTGATAGTGCCCCATTTGGGCTAAAACATGAAATTCACCTGTATGGCTTTATGGCACTAGAGCGGCATTCCGGCTTGACTAATCGCCGCTTTATAATCAAATTAGTAACAAATTCACGAACATATTAAACAAATAAACTCCCATTTTTGCCCTCAGTTGGGCGAACTGACGTTGTCAGTCTGACAATCAGGTGGGAAAACGTCAACAAATGACCCAAATCCCTCAATTGCCAATGTGAGGTCAGTACCTCAAAGTGTCGTCATCAAACAGACATGTCACTGAAGCTGCTTCGCTTATGGCGTTCAAAAAGTGCATTTTTATCCACCTAAGCGGGGCCCCGAAATGCGTTTTCTCTTGCAACAGCTAATTTACATGGAATCATTTACAGCTGAAATGTAAACAACGCTAGCAGCGGCAACACCCAGCCCGCCCACTTCTGCCCCAATTCTCTGTCTCTTGTCCATACGAGATTCACTGCATTGGAGACAAAGACGGCAGACATCCTGCAAGTGAGAGTGGGGAATCCTAACCTGAGAGACTGTTGACAATGGCAATGTCACATCAGAGAAAACAATAATCAGTGATTCTATCAATTTGAGAATGAATTCCAAGTGAAATTGTGTTACTTTTATCATGTAATTAAGGCGAACTTTGTGCGGAAATTGTTGTGGAAATGTCCGACCATCAGAATGAGCCATCTGAGCTAGACACTGGTGAGTGTTTCCTGCGGAAATTGGCTTCAGTTGCTGTTAAGTTTTACTTGACTATATTTCCAGACCTCACATCTAATGATTCAGACATGGACTGTTCCCAAAGCGTTTGCTCTGACACCCACTCAGACAACACCTCAGTACACACTGAGAAAAGTACTCTGTCTGAGTCCACCATCCATGCACTGAGCGGAGGCAGTGAGGCTGAAAATGTTGCTGTTTTACCAAGCCTGCTTTCGGGTAAGTGATAGTGATTCTACATGGGTATTGGGAGTTGTAGGTAAAATCACTGGTTATTTTTTAGATGATTAGGCCCTTCTTGAGCTGATAGAAAATAGCTTTACCTTTTTGTGATGTTTTTTTGACCAGTTTTCACTTATTGAAGTTCCTACTAAGGACTATCTAACATTACCAACAAAAGTTGTTGGTAAAGGGATTTTCTGTCAGGTGAGCAGTGTTTTTTGCGAGCGCAAGGGCCTGATCATCTAGACAATTGCCAAATTACTTACCATGACTGTGTTCAGAGCAATAGTGAAAAATTTAGCTCAATGTGCGCTTAATACTAAAGAGTTCTTCAGGCACCAATCTACACCAATGACTAGATTCTGGCACCAATCAATATAAGTAATTACGTTAAAGGCGCAGTGGGATTTCTTAAAATACCGCGCTCACTCACGCCAATTCCCTCAGTCGAACAATCACAACACTGCCAGTTGCTAGTGGTTTTCCAGATAATCATCTTAATGTATTAAATAAGCAATTTAGCATTAAAGTGGCGATCATTCATGTGTCCCAATATTTGATCCTCATTCCCATCAGCCTTATCGCGCACTACATCAGCCGATTAACAATAATTATCGATGTTATTTTGGTAAAGTACCTTCCAAATCTACCTGGTGTTATATCGCGAATGTTTTATTTACTTATCGTCCTTAATAAGTGGTATAATACAGCCATCAATTACACACTGGCTGCTTTTTAGAGTTTTAAAAAGTGCATTATCAGCTTAGTTCTGGTTCGTAAATCATACATGAATTTGTGCGTTAAACATGTACGTGAAGTGCTCGGATATTTCCAGTATGTATACTAGAAGCAGGGTTTATGAGGTGACCCCGGAAAGCAACGCGCAAATAGGGAAAAGTAGAAAACCTTCCAGAGCGTTGTGTTTGTATGTTAATAACGGGCTTTATAGAAAAGAAGATTCCCAATATTTCGGCGATCAATCGCAGCATGTTGCTGCCCTGGGGGGCTCAGAAGGATCGCCTGTCCCATCTGCTGATGCTCGGCCAGAACGCTGAGGGCGAAACCCGTCCAGGCGAATTTGTGATGAGGAGCCTGTTCCAGGAATTCACCATTCTTGCCGAGAAGAAGATTGAAAGCGTCATGACCGAGCCGCAGGAAAAGCCACTTTCCAAAACCCTTCAAAGGCAAGTGAATTTGCGCGTTTTAACAGCGACTGATTTGATCATTTACGCACAGGGGCGAGGACTCGCAGTTTGATCAACTTCTGAGCGCATTTGGCTCGGTGGCAGAGCATTGCCTGCCATCGCTCCTGAAGGCGCTATTTTCCTGGCATGAGCGGCAAATGTCCGAGGTTTCCAACCCGGAACAGAAAAAAAGCGATATCAAGCAGAAAAGGTTTGAACCACTTCACACGTTTAAGTGAGCCCAAAGTAAAAACTAGCCTTCCAGCATCATTAACATCGTGGCAGGCAACACGACTGAAACCCCCGAGCGATCGGAAGCAGACATTCAGAAAGAGAAACGGGATCTTGCAGTGGAGTTCATATTCTGCTTGGTGTTGATCGAAGTATTGAAGCAACTCTCCTTCCATCCGGGCCACGAGGATCTGGTTCAGTACATTGAAAACTTGGCGTTGAAGCACTTCAAACATCAGGATGGGTAAGGGGGGATCTCAAATTTAAATCAATCGCTCACCACCAACTCGGGTTTCTGGATTATTGCAGCATCCAAAACAACCCCAACAGCGCGAATATTCACATGATCTGCGATCTTTACGCTGAAGTAATCGGAGCGTTGGCACAAAGCCGATTCATGTCTGTGCGGACGCGGTTTATGGCGGAACTGAAGGAATTGCGTTCGAGAGAGTCAAGCCCGGCCACCACTCAAAGCATTATTAGCTTGCTGATGGGGATGAAGTTTTTCCGGCAAGTAGCTCAAAAATTTGCGCTTGAAAATTCTAAGATTAACCAAGACCATTAACCATTTTCAGCGTCAAAATGGTGCCTATTGAGGAGTTCGAAGCATCCTTCCAGTTCATGCAAGAGTGCGCCCAATATTTCCTCGAAGTGAAGGACAAGGACATCAAGCACGCCCTCGCAGGCTTGTTTGTGGAGATTCTGGTTCCGGTGGCAGCGGTCAGTGTTCATCCCCAGTTTAAATTAGCTTCACCGCTGACCAATCTAACTTTGCAGGCTGTTAAGAACGAGGTGAATGTGCCGTGTTTGAAAAACTTTGTGGAAATGCTCTACTCGCAGACGGTGGATGCCAGCACCAAAGCCAAACATCGACTGGCGCTGTTTCCGTTGGTAACCTGCTTGCTTTGCGTTAGCCAAAAAACCTTCTTTCTGCAGTCCTGGCACTGCTTCCTCGCCATGTGTCTGGCGCACTTGAAGAACCGCGACCCCAAAATGTGCAGAGTGGCTCTGGGTAAGCGTACTAAAAAACCAAGGTTTTTGGCGCAATCGGCGATTTTAAGGCAGGTCCTTCTGGTTATCTGCCTGATAGTGCTGTTTATTGAATGCACAAAGGCTTATGATCCAGGCGAGAACTAACAGGAACTTTTCAGAATCTCTTTATCGGCTTCTTTGGGTCTACATGATCCGAATCAAGTGCGAGAGCAACTCCGCGACCCAATCCCGCCTGCAGAGCATCGTAAACTCCCTGTTCCCCAAAGGCTCCAAAGGGGTGGTTCCCAGAGATACTCCCCTAAACATCTTCGTGAAAATCATCCAGTTTATCGCCCAAGAGCGGCTGGATTTCGCCATGCGCGAAATTGTGTTCGACCTGCTTTCGGTCGGACGGCCCATCAAGATGATACTGACTCCAGAGCGGATGAGCATCGGGCTGCGGGCTTTTTTGGTCGTTGCCGACAGTCTGCAGCAAAAGGTACTGAAAACTCACCGGTTGCCTGGCCCGTAACATAAGAGCGATTTTAGGAAGGAGACCCGCCTATGCCCAGATCGGTAGGCGTCCTCCCCAGCGGAAATACGTTGAGGGTGCGCAAGACCTTCCTCAATAAGATGCTGACTGAAGACACGGCAAAGAGCATCGGGATGAACGCGTATTTTCCCCATGTCCGAAGAGTGTTTGTGGACATACTAAGGGCGCTGGACACCCAGTATGGACGGCCCTTGATGATGACCAACACGCAAAACGTCAACAAGGAGCCCGATGAGATGATCACTGGGGAGCGCAAGCCGAGAATCGAGCTGTTCAGAACTTGCGTAGCAGCGGTTCCAAGGTTGGTTCAAATGTTCTGTGCTGATGTTTTATTTAACTTGAGAGTGTGTTTAGATTAATCCCTGATGGAATGACCAGTAGCGAGCTAGTGGATTTGCTCAGTCGTTTGACGGTTCACATGGACGAGGAATTGCGCGGCCTGTCGTATTGCAGCCTGCAGAGCCTGGTGGTGGACTTTCCAGAGTGGCGCCAGGACGTGCTTTGGGGGCTGACGCAGTTTGTGGCCAAGGACATATTGGACACGTTCCCTTTGCTGATGGAACACGGTCTGAAGATGATCCTCACGTTGCTCTGCGCGTGGAAATCGGCCCTCACCAACACTCCCTTGAACAGTGGCACTCTTCGTATTGGTAAGCCGCCTTGTGCTCTTCCAGCCGATCCAGGTTTCAGTTTTTTGGGCTTCAGCAAAGGATTACAGCGACATGAAGTCGACGACGCCCGACCCGAATCTCACAAAAAAAACTGATGTTGGCAAGTCAGAGCCGCTCTCTTCAGTGCTTTACTTCGTCGAGGCCTTGGCTGTGGTGATGCTCTGCAATTACCGGTATTTACAGACTGTCCAGATCCTTGATGGTGCAGGCGCCTAATAAGCGAAACTTTGCAGTTTGACCTCCAGGCGTTTATCCGTGCTGATCCTGAAGGAAGTGAAGAGCCTTTTGAAGCTATTGGGCTGCTCGGACAATGTCCCGGTGATCGATGTGCTGGACCAAAACTGTGCAGCTATTTTGGACCGATGCCTTCCACTGATCCCTCCAGCAGAGAAAGCTACCATTCAAGCGGCAACTAATGTGGATTTTCAATGGTAATTGTTCAATTTTATTTGAAACTGGCGGTTGAAACTGCTTGTTCATAGGCTGGCAGATCGCAGTTCTTCCACATGGACGATGGGCCAGATCGAAGAAAGCCCAAACAAGAACCAAGGCGCCTACAGCTTCAATGTCGTCGACCCGTGGAGTGTGTGCCTTTTCGGGTTTCTCGAAAAAGACAAGATTCTCAGCTTGTGTCCCATGATGATTTTGCATTCTTGGCCCATAGTTTACACCCGCTTGAATGCCCTGTACTTTGTCGTTGATCCCACGTGAGTCCCAGTAGTTTATGCAGTTAACTATTTAATTAGCGGGGTGGTTTTAGGCCATTGAACGACAATAGGGCTTCGCTGCTCAGAAGCGCCACTGCCGTCAAAAAACCGCCTACAGAACGCGACGCCTACATGCATCTTTGGAAGAACTATATCACTTTTGCCTTTAAAGTGGCCCCGTTGATTTCGAATCCCATAGTGAGATGCGCCAGCCCCGATTTGAGCTTGAGGTGAGATTTGGTATGGGTGACGCCGGAAATTTATTGGCGCTATTTCAGTTCCTCTCCGGATAGTCTAAGCCAGGAGAAAAGCGACACGAAACTTTCCGCTAATATTTCACCGACGGCTCTCTATAAATTGGTTATGCCCCATTTGAGATGCGAGGTCAATGATATTCGAGACTCTGCTGTATATGCGGCGGGAAATATTAATGGGCACGCGCTCCGGTAGGTTTTCTGCTAGTGCAGGTGTTTTTTGCTGATTTTTAACTTGCAGAGACCTCCTGGAGGAGCTGACTGTGCACATTCGAGACGCCGTCGATAAGAAGCAGGAAAACGTGAGGAGAAGGCGCAGGAGAGATGCTTTAAGGCTGCAGATTATGAGGCTGCTGGAGTTTATAGCGGAAAACGGGACCTTTGGCACTAGGTAGGCTTGCGCCCCAGCTCCACATTACCAATCTAAATTGAAATAATTTGTAGTTCGTGCACAGTGGATAAAGATTCCCAAGGCCTACACCCATCTTTGGTGGAATTCATCGAAGGCGTGAGACACTACTTGGAAAACGAACCGGACAAGAACTCGAACACAGTCAGAGACTTGACGCTCCATTTTTGCCACTTTTTGCGAAAAATGATCAAGAATTTCAGCTGTACGTACTAAAACTGGCTAAATGTTTACGATTCTACACAGAGCACGTTTCAGTGGATGTTCGCAGAAGCTTGCTGAAAAGGGATCTAAGGAAGAGCCTTTTTGTGCTTTTTACCAATTGGGTGGGCAGGTACACGATATTCAGCACAAAGATCCTGCAACCTGAAAGCGACATGTCCAATAAGAAACACGTAGAACTGCAGTTCGTCTCCTTGCTGGCGATGAGCTCGCTTTTATGTTGCGGCCCTTGCTTTGACAGTCTAACCGAGGAAAGTCCCTACTATCTGTGGCTGGATGCTTTGCTGAATAGTTCAGATGAGAAGGTTATTTATTTTTTTATTGACAGGGATTTCATACTCAAGTCTATTTTTGTAGGTGTACAACTTGGCGCAGGAGACAGTTATTCTGCTGCTTGAATCCAACCCCGATGTGCCTCAATTGCTGGATTGGATAGTCGATAAATGCTACACAGGATCGTCCAAGGTAGCTGACTGCTGCTTTTTGGCTTTGGCGACGATTTTCAGTGCCAGGTGAGTTGCTGTAGTCAAGAGCGTATCTTCTAGTGTGTTTTTGGGAAAAATTCCAGAGAATACCCTTGCGACCATTACACCGCTATAATCAATGTGACTTTGATGAATACGGGAAGCCCTAGACAAAACGTGCGGGACACTGCGCTGCAGCTGCTGCAGCTTTTGGATAAGCGATTTTTCGGCAGCGTTGGCCCATTGCAGGAGAACGATTTGGGTAATAGTCATTTTCTACTTTAGGTTTGGTCGCATGCGAGAAATTATTTAATTTTAGCGGAAGGCGACAAAGGACGTGACACCTTGGACGCGGTTCTGGCCATGTCCTACTGCAGATCCCAGATGCATTTGTCCAGACAGCTGGCTCTTTTGCACCCTGATTTGACCATGCCGATGTTTTCAGGCAAGATCAGTCCGATCTTTAAAATGTCGAGTATTTTAATGTTTTTTTGGTGCAGAAATCACCTATCGGTTCCAAACAGCGCGGCCGGAAGTCAGGCAGTTGCTGCTCACTTATTTGCTGCCCTGGCTGCATAATATGGAGCTGGTCGATCCCAACATCCCCTCGAATCATCCTCACATGTACCAGTTTTATGCCAGTGAAATGGGCGCTGAGCGCAAGGAGGGCTGGGGCTCAGCCGAGGCCACTGAAATGGTCCTGAATAATATCTTCTACATTACGGCAAAGGTAAATAATCCCGGAGTTAATTAAGGTCGGATGTGGGTTTTTATCGTCGATATCTCCGACACAGTTTGGAGACAGTCATTCCAAGGAAGTCGAGGAGTTGTGGGGCATATTGTGCACATCCTGGCCCAATAATATGAAAGTGATCATCCGATATCTCATCATTATATCAGGGATGGCGCCCTGCGAGCTGCTGCCTTATGTAAGTTTGGATTATTCGTCGTCAAACTCGAGACGCTATCGCAATTTTAGGCCAAGAGAGTCGTTTTGTACCTGGCAAGAGTGCAGCCGGTGCGCTTGTTGGACGAAATGATGCTGGAACTGCAGACGGTGGAAACCTTGAATTGCTTGATTGAACGAACCGAAACTCCGCCGTTTTATCGGTTGACTGTGATGCGCAAAACGTCCAGCCACTCGGACGGAACCAATGGGGTTGCTGGCCAAAGCGACAGCAGCAGCCGAAACGACTTGAGTAAAAACGCGTCCGTTTATCGCGTTGTGGACGTTTACAGATGTGTTTTAGGTATCGAAAAGGGCACCATTCATACCAAGAGACACAGCGGCGAAGATCCGTCCAAATCAGTGGCAAAATCGGAGTCCGGAGCGAATATGTTCACTGATTTTAGCATGAATAACAAACTGCGAAATCCTGATGAGTTGAGCAACTCTTTGGAGGAGGTAGGGCCACTTGAGATAGGGATGTTAAAGGCCAGCTAATCAATGCCATTTCAGACTTCCAACGGAGACGAAATTGTTTTGCGGGAAAAGGTCGATATTCCGCAGCCGCATCCGCTGCCGATGCCCGAGTTTGGCGGCTTTTTTGCCCCGCTCACCGAGTACTTGCCCGACACTTCGCAGCCTATTTCCGGATTCCACAGGTGGGTCCTTTGCGGGCGACGTTCCACGGTTCAGCACTAATGCACATTTTCATTCAAGGTGCAACGTGGGCGTAATGCTGCTCTGCGACATCGTGGTGGATGGAATCGAACTAGACTGGGCAATCCACGTTCCGCTGATGTTACATATACTCTTCCTCGGCCTGGACCACACCAGAACCATCGTCTACCAGCATTGCAAGCAGCTGCTGTTGAACTTGCTGGTTGTTCTGGCGCAGCACAACGACCACTTGATTGTTGCCCATGTTCTGCTCAACAGCCAGTCTATGCAGCTGGAGCTGGGGCTGTCCACTCCGTCGCTGCCTGTAGTCAATCACGTTTTCACAGGCAAGTTATTGGAATCCAGCACTGGGATGTGTAATGGGGTTGTGATTTATTCAGAAGTCGATTCCACCTTTGACGATTTCCTGTACAGCCAAGTGGTGGCGGGCGCAGCAGCGGAGCCGGCCAGCAAAACGAACCTGCAGAGCATCTCCTCAAAGGGCGAGGAATCAAGTGAGGGTTTTTGGGCCAGTTGTTGCAGCTTGCAATGGAAATGTTTCCACTTCAGGTGATGAAACGGACGGTGCGCTGCCTCCAGCCATAGTTCTGCCCGACGGTTCCGATCCAGTGCTGCCTGTTAAGCTGGAACTTACCACGTCGTCCGTAATCAAGTCCCTGATCGATTTCCTGGCCACCAAACAGTCCCCGCTTTGGAACTACGAAGATATCACAGCCAAGGTATTCACCATCAGGAGCGCTGAACAGATCGACATATTTCTGCAGTATATCCTGCGGGTGTTCAGGGACTCGTTGCCCAATGCCCACATTAATGAGCGATGGGCGCAAACCGCTTTACAACTCGGTAAGTTACGCATTTTTAAACGTAAATCTCCTGTACTGTTCACATGTAAACTCACGTTGTGTGTTCGCACATTGCAAATCAACGGCCAACATGTGAAAAACTGGAAGTTTTCGCGTTATTAAGCCGTCGTCTGTAGGCATTTAGCGCAAACGTTTTGCCCGCACGGAACACAATTACGGGCAAATAACGCAAAAACCTGCAGTTTTAAGTTTCTTTTATTTAGTGTTTTAACTGTAGGTTTAAGTTGTTCGTCGCGCCACTACGCTGGAAGGTCGTTGCAAATTTTCCGCGCACTCCGAGTGCCAATCACCTCAAGAATGCTCTCCGATATTCTGAGCCGATTGGTGGAAACTGTTGCGGAACAGGGCGAAGATATGCAAGGTGAATGCACTGTTGAGGGTGATTTTTTCGCTTAACGAAACCTTCTGTCAGGCTACGTAACTGAGCTGCTGCTCACTCTGGAAGCTGCGGTCGATTCCCTGGAATCCGATTTCCGGCCGCTGGACCTGACCAAGGAGATATTCAAGTCCACTCCCAACTTGAACAATAAAGACGCCGTCTCCTTCAAGAAGAATCCAGACGGGACTAATGCTGTTGCTACGCCTATATTGAATCATTCAATTTCAGGTAGGTTTTTGGGGGTTTTCCCGTGGCTAATCCAGTGTTTTCAAGCATAAACGTGTTTTAGTGGGTCATGCTAGAAGTACGAGCTATTCCGTCTCATACGGGTTCCGTAAAAGCGTGCCTGTGAGCGACGAAAAAAAGAACAGAAGCACTTCGAATGATGTTGAGCTAAATAGAGCAAAGTTCTCGTCCAATCTGTCGCGGTCCAGGTCAGCACAAAGCCTCAAAATGCTCGGTAACCGCTGCTATTTTTATTGAAAGCCCCCAATTATCATTGACGCGTTTAGGCGATTCGGCTACTCAAGATGATAAGCTCACCATCCTTGCGCAGCTGTTCTGGTTGGCCGTGTCGCTCTTAGAGTCGGACTATGAACACGAGTTTTCCCTGGCCGTTAAACTCCTGGCCAGAGTAATGCATAGACTGCCCTTGGACAGGCCGGATGCCCGAGACAAAGTGGAGAAGCTGCAGCAGCAGCTGAGATGGAACAATTTCCCCGGCGTCCATGCGCTGCTGCTGAAGGTATTTGCGTGCTCTTCAACTGGGGCGATTGGTGAATGTTGGGGATGTTTCAGGGTTGCACTCATCCGAACATTTATGAGTCCGCTGTGGAGCTTTTGTCGCATTTCACGCATTTGCTGAACTTCGTGGTAGTGGATAGTTCGCAAAGCATAGCATTTCCCATGAATGTGATCGCGCTCTTGCCGTATATGCTCTTAAACTATGAGGATGCCAACGAGCTGTGCATTAGAGCCGCTGATAATATTGCCCAGGTAATTATTAGGAATGTGGGCGATTTTTTCACTCTACATTACCACATGCAGGTCAGCATTGAAAAGAGCAAGAAGCTAGAAAATCTGGGCACTGTGATGAATCTATACAGTCGACGCACGTTCAGCAAGGAGAGCTTTCAATGGACCAAGTGCGTGGTCAAGTATCTGCATGACACCTACTCGCACTTGGGCCTCACTATGCTCTCCTTCCTGGTGGAGATTTTGGAAAAAGGCCCCGGCAACCTGCAGCTGCCCATTCTGAACATTATTCATTGCGTCCTGCATTACGTGGATTTGGCCACGCCAGCCGCCCAGCCCATCAACGCTGATCTTCTGAAAATCATCATTAAGTACCTTGAAGGTTTGCACCTTGAAAAGAAAATCCATTGTTCGGTGTGGATTAACTGAACAGTTGCAGGTCCTCATTGGAAAGAAGCCCTGAAGATCCTGAAGCTGGTGGTAAGTCGCTCAAGCTCTCTGGTGGCTCCTCCCACGTCACTGATCACTCATTGGGAGACGCATTTCGCCTCCATCCCACACCCGCCTACTTTCACCGAAGACAGCGTTTTTGCCAAAAAAGAGCTGCCAGGTAGGAGGCCGGCAGCGCTCTTATGGGCTTTGTTTATTGTCTTCAACTCTGTCCTAGGGAGGACCATGGAGTTTACCTTCGATCTCTCCCAAACGCCGGTGATCGGAAGGCGGTTCTTGAACAAAGGCGAAGACGCCGAGAAGGCCAAAGCAGTGGTAACTCCGCGTCGATCTTGCTCGATTAGTCCTGCCGATGTGAGTTCGCAGAGCGGCTGGAAGCGGCCCTGGATGTGCCAGGTAAATCAGCTCTTAACACTCACTCAGTGATATATTTTTAACTTGACCACCTTCCAGGGACGTGTCAGGGAGTGCCTTGTGAACCTCCTAACAACTTGCGGCCAAAGAGTGGGCCTTCCAAAGAGTCCATCGGTAATTCGCGTGCGCTCTTGCTGCGTACCGGCTAGTAATTGTAAGATATTTCAGGTGATATTCAGTCAAACATCCGACTTGATTGAGAGACAATCGAGCATGGCTTCCAGCACTGAAGAGGTTTCCGCAGGAAACAACGACATGAGTGGCGGATCGAGGCGAGACGACGCCGCCGCCGAATTCGGTGTGTTTAAAGACTTTGATTTTCTGGAGTACGAGAGCGAAAGCATAGAGGTACGGGAGGTTTGGTGGTGTAGAGATGCAGGGCTAATTTGTGATGCTCGCAGGGCGAAAGCACGGATAACTTCAACTGGGGCGTGCGCCGTCCCCAATTCGGGCAGGACGAAGAGGAGCCGGCCGCAGTGAAGCTCGAGGACAGCATCAGCGAAAAAACCCCAGTGCCAACCGTAAGAAAGGTACACGTGTGCCCATTTAACCATAATGTGAGTCCATCGTCCTGTTCTCGTTCTGCTGTGTTGCTTGCACGTTCAAATGTTGAGCGCCCCTGTCAAATCGCATACTTTCAGCCGCTGCTAACTGAAGAATCGTCGGACGATGAAATCGAGACTGAGTCCCCGCTGGACGAAATAGCAAACGTTCCTGACTTCGATAACAGCAACGCTGAGAGCAGCGGCGTCTTTCCACCGTCTTCTCTGGCCCTGAGGGAGCAGCAGGCCAACTCCAGCGCCAGATCAGACACCAGGTGCGTTTTCACTTTATGTATACTTGTACGGTTGCTAACTGTTCGGTTTTAGTGGCTCGAGTGCTGGGGATTTGGGCGACGTGACGCCCTGCAATGCCTCCCCGAACCTGCCTGGCATGTTGCACAGCAGGATGGGCAAGAGCGACGTTCTGGATAACTGGAACGCCTTCGTGCAGTCCAACAACTTATCAACGCCCGCCAATTGTTTGCAGTTTTTCCACCACATGCAACGCTTGGTTTCAGTAAGTGATTGATTGAGTCGCAAGGGTTTATTTGAAGTGGTTTCTTCTCAGGAAATTTCCCATTCGACCATCGAAATAACCAAGGAGTCGTGCGCTAACATGCTGCAATCTACCATAGGCAGCGAGGTAACGATTAAGCTTTTGACTGCGCGGCTTAATTCCATGATGGACATAGTCAATTATAGGTAAAGGCTCAGTAGGGAAATCGATGTTGGTTCAATGGGGGTTTCTTTGCAGGGTGCTCCCTAGGAATGTTATATGGTTCAACACCATGGTGCTGAGCAACTCGCGGTTCTACGAAACGTTGAAGTACGGCCTGTTGGAGGTGCAGGAGCATCTGGAGACTTTCTGTGATAAACGCGATCAAGCCATGATGGTAAGAGGGCACGCACAAAAATAAACCCCGGTCAGGGTTAATGAGTGATTTTTCTAGTACTGCGATGCGGTAAAGGCCACGCTGAAACTAGAACTACTTGGGGGACATTCGTCGGACTTTCAGCAGGAGCAGTATTTGGTTGATTTGGGCAAGGCCCTCTACAAGCTCTACTTTCAGCTGATTCTACTGGTCGAGGCCGGCAATAAAATGATTTCTGCCTTGCACAGCAGCGTGAGAAGCGGAGAGGTAACAAACGCGCCAACTAGTAGATGAGTTTTTTTACAAACTTCTTGTTGGGTATTTCGCCTCAAAAATTTTTGTCTTTAAAAAAGACGGAATTTTCTCACGTCTTCTATTACAGATTGATAAATAGTGCTCCTATTTCGCAATAAGAACGAATT